GAGGTTGAATTGTAAATTCCAATTCATAACACAGAACTATTTCTAAGAGATCTGAGTTGAGATTTAGCTGATTAACCTTTGAGAACTCAGAGAAAAAGGATGAGTCAGCTTCAACCAGTTTGCATTTATTTGTCATGAAAACATTGTTTTCAGTGGAACGTTCACGAACAAATAAGCAGCTTCAAGGATGGTGGGCAGACTACTATGCCCTGCCTATTAAAATGGTGATAACTATTACAATAATTTAATTAAGTTTATTTTAAAGTCTTAATTAATGGGCTTCCTAAACTAAGCTCAAGCAAATGTGGGCTCTGTGCATACTGCAGATGCCTTGATGCTCTGAATTTCTTTGTAGAGCTGTGAAATTCTCAAATTAACTTTCTGTCAGGAAAAGTAAAATACTGCCAGGAGAGCATGGAGATAAAATCCAAGCCAATGGGAGAAAATTACAAAATGGCATCCTGTGACATGAATCACTTCTATGGAATAACTCAAGCTATAATAATGAGTCTGTAGTTTCTAGACAGTAGATCATTAGCAGCAGCAGCATAGGTAGCTACAACAATTTACTTGAGTAATTATTAAGATGGATAACAGTCATCTCCTGGTCATTTATGTACATGATTAGATTTATTTATGACTGTAAAATCTCCAAAAAGGGGAAAAAAAATACTTCTTTAAAAATACAGTGGCACCAGCCTAATGCTGCCCTCTCTGTTTAAAATTTCCACTTTAATTTAGAACCAAAGTTTTGTCTGTCTGAAGCAAAGGATCAGAGAGAACATCAGTGTTTTCACAATCATCGGATTTTGATGGATGGTTTAGCTGCTTAATAACGAAGAACATTGTCTTCTGGGATTTGCAAAAGAACCTGGCACCTAACATAATTTGAAACAAATATCTGTTAAATACTTCAGCTTTAGAAAAATAAATCCTTTTAATAATTTCTTACTGAATTATTAACAAATCAAACATGAGAGCATTAAGGAGCTACGCTCGTGGGGGACACATTCAGAGTATCTACTGTGATATTCAAAAGCACCTATTACAGCATTAAACTCAGAAGCACAATGAGCAGAGACCAGGTAAATGGCACCGGTGAGTTCCAGGCTCCAGCATTCTCAATCACACGTTCCTCCCCTGGAAAACTGATACCAAGGCAGAGTGTGACTCAGGTGCTATTTTTAGCTGCAGGGATTCAGCCCTGAAGAGGCATCTTGATACAGAAACAACAAGTTCAAATTCAATTTAAAAGAATTTTGCTAAAGTTTGACCCTTATGAAAGGATAGATTTGCCCATGTCCACCCACACAACCGGCAAAGTATTCAGCCCCAAGAAGCAATACTGCACAGAACATAAAAGTGACCCTACTGGGTCAGCTAAAGGTTCATCTAACCCAGACACAGCCTGGTGAGAAGAATCTAAGGAAGACTAAAACCACAGCAAAGACGTTACAACTCCCAATATTTTCCCAAGCTCCAACCACTTGCAACTGCAGGGACTTTCTCATCTTGATGGGGTTCCTATGTCAGTGTTTTCTCGAACTCAAGTAAACTCTAACACTCATTGGCAAGAAATTTCCAACTGGTTAGTAAACACGGACTCCCTTTTGTTTGTTTGGCTCCTACTAGCTTCATTCAATGTCCCATAATTTTTGCACAGAAAAAACTGAACACTTACCACACCATTACTGATTTTGCAGGTTCCATCACATGCCCCCATGCTACTTCTTGCCCCACTGAAGAACCCTAACCTACTCAGTCACTCAGTAAATCTACTCCATTGATCTTCTTCACTCATAAAAAGCTAGTTCATCTTCTTCTAACTCTTAGAATCATAAAATCATAGAATGGCTTAAGCTGGAAGGGACCTTAGAGATCATTTTAATCCAGCCTCCCTGCCGCCAGGGACACCACCTGTTGACTAGATCAGGCAACACATGGGGACTGAACGGGAGTCGAACCCGCAACCTTAGCATTGTTAGCGTTGTTAGTGCTACGCTCAACTGACTGAGCTAACCAGCCCCCGAAAGAAGTCTTTACTTTTGCATTGCACACCTTTTAATCTCCTTTTCTTAAAGATGTATTCCCAAATCATATTACCAGTAAGTTTCCTGACTTGTTTTAAAACGTCCCCACTATCCACTCATGTCTCCACATGACACTAGAAAAGTTTATGTTAATACCACCATGGTTTTTCCAGAGTTGGAAAATGCAGTATTTTGAGAGGCACAACTTTCTTTTCCTTTTGTTTTCCTAATTTATTCCCAACTCAAAAATGCTGATGTTGACCTACGGGGTCCCCTGAAAGCTGAAGAAAGTTCAGTCAACCTTAATAAGAAAGGGAATGACACAGTTCCATTAAGAAACAAACTCAAAAATTGACAGTGACTAGAAACATGCTGCACAAGCAGCTAATCCAGAAGTAATAGGATTTAACCTCTGCAATTCTGTAGCATGTTGCAATACAAAGCTAAGGAATTGTGGCAAACAACTTACCGGTCAGCCTATGCAGTATTAGTTTTTAACATCTTACATGTGTTGCTATAGCTGCTAAGGCCCCAAAGAGCTGCACAAGTGGATTCTGATCAGTAGTACATATCAAGCAGAACAGAATATATCATATTCCTCTAAGTCAAAAGTAGACCCAAAATATTTTATGGAGCATTGCTATCTAGGAAGTAGTTCACATACAAGGAAAAACTTCACTTATGAAAACAGACCAAACCTTCAAGCTTGTGGAGGGACTTATTAAGATTACACACACATCCCCCATTATCTACTGCCTTGTCCTGTCTCCCTCACTCAGCTGCAACCTGGTGCTGCCTGCAAGCTGATCCTTCTGGCAGCACTCATTTTCTATAAGTCTGCTTCTATTTAAAAAGAAAAAAAAAAGTTACATATATGGATAGAGGAGCACTTTCTTTTGACAGAAGCTGAACTCTATAGGAGTCAGCAGCTTCTTCCAGCTGCCAGTGAAGTCACCAGGACACCTGGGTAAAAGACCAGAAAGGTTCCCGTTTCCTGTGCAAACAGAAATGGCTAAACGCCTTCAAAATTCCATATGTATTATTAAAAGAGTGCATAATAATGATTCAGGGGAGGATTGTAGAATTCTTACTATGCTAAATTTCATACAGTATAATCTTCTTATAAATTTCCTTGGCACCACAAGTCAGATTTTCCAATGTGTAGACTAGTCCTATTGCCTAGGACTGCTACACAGGGAATTAAAATCTGAAAGAATGAATAGCTCCCTAATAGTCTACAATGACACAACTCTGTTACTCTGCCATTTCTTTGAATTCTGACTATACTAAGTATGAAATAATATACATTGAGAAAATAGCAGTGGAGCAGAATTTTTTCCCTTTAATTGTATTGCCTGTTATACCAGTTTGACAAATAAAAGACCAAGAAATCTGAGTATTTACAAGATATAGGATTACAAATGTCCAACTGGCATCTAATGTAGCTTAGGTTCAGAAAAAAGGGTATCAGCTAATTGAAGTAGAATTTATGACCATTACTTTTCCTGAGTATTTTATAGTAAATATACATGGCTTTCTGAGATATCAGTCTGTAAAAAACAACGCTTTACACTTTGTCATGTAATTGATTTTCTAGATATGAAAATAGTTTTAGACCTATGTAGCCAAGTTTACCTTTGGGGTATTTACTGAAGCTTTTAGTCAATAATGATGCCTTCTGCTTGTTTGTTTGTTCAGCGAAAAAAATCAAAACAAATAACCCTTCTTTCTGCCTAGCTAGTTCCTAGACTCAATCAGAAAAGACTGCCAGAAGTGTTCTCTCTGCTTCAGGGCTATCATGACACTCTCAGGCCACCACTAAGGTGAAGACAAGCTGGATCATATTACAAGGAGGAACTGAGAAGTCATCCAGTACTTCTATTAACCAAACCCTGATGATAATTTGAAATACAAAATATGAGTTCCAGCTGTCTTTTCCTCCTTTGTGGAGGAAGGCTTCCTTCTTTCTCTACTACTTACCTCTCTTCCCAGCTGCTTCTTCCTTTCCTTTAGAAAAAAACCCACATCACAAAGCAAGCAAACAACACATCCCTGCATGCCCCGAATTCACAGAAAGTTAAAAATAATTATATAAATAAAGCCTGCCTTAGTCCAGACAATTTCTTTTGCAAGAACAACTACGAGCTTGGAACCAAGAAAAACAACTTATGCAGCTGCAGCTGACAAAAGGCTGTCAGTTCTCAGAAGTGCTGATAAAATTTATGCTGTGCCCTAATTTCTGCTACAGACTAGTTATGAAAACATCAAGAATAGAAGATGCATTATGCGATTTCTGCTCTTGGGCTCTTTTTAATCTCCTAAGTGTTTGCCTCTTTTAGGTTTCACAGAAGATGTATCTGAATTCAACACTGAAAATAGTTTCACAGAAAATGCATTAATGTGTCAGCTACTTAATTTAAATTCCCCCAGAAAGAAACTTGCTGCTCTCTTGAATTTCTCCCAGTAAGATTGTCCTATGAAAATAATTTAAAAGGATGCTGTGGTTAAGCAAGGTCTTAACATGATCTTTGCAAAGCTCTGCAGTACATTCTTCAGGTTCACATCTACCACATCGTCCCTGTAATCCTTCCAGTACACCAACAGGATCTCTAAACCCAAAGCACCAAAAGGCACTATTCAATTTTATTATCAGCCTCTCACAGCTACTTCATATTCCCCTTGCAAATAAATACAAGGCTCACATTTTCTCCGTTAGCCACCACGTCACACTGTTACATCCTTCACATTACAAGTCACTTTTTGAGTAACTGTCTCTCCTAGTTACCTTAGTAATTACCCAAGAAGTTATTAATTCCCCCAATTTTATATTTACTACACAGAACAATTACCTCCCTGCCCGTTTGCAAAGCCTCCACAAATGAAATCTCTTAACCATGAGAAAAAGTTCAGTGCCATAGCAGTCAGACACCTCAGATAGTGATACATGCCAGGACATCCACTGACACTTACTTTGCCAGGCTTGTTTGCATCAATGCTGTTCTCTTTAAATTTCTCCTGCAGGGTCTCAGCTAACCGACAAAGCAAGGCACCGTTGTCCAACTTCTCCATAAAGGTTTCTGCTGTTATTTCTCTACCTGAACAGCAAACAGAAAGTTAACATGGCAGAAAGCGTGCAAGATTTGTGTAAAAAGAGAAATAAATAGAAATCTTGACAACAATTTGAAATAAGCTTTGACTGACAAACTTGCATTACTTTGAATATTTAGTGAATAACCTCGTTACAACTTTACTGGTAGATAAACAGTAAATTATTTAAATACAATATGCTTTCTTTGAGAAGACATGCTTTTTGAAAAATAATTCTAGCATATCAGATTCCACATATCTCATTTACTTATGAAATTCCAGTGCTTTTAACATAGGTCTTTAAAACAGAGTACAGCAAATGGTTTGCACCAGCGCGCATGGGTAGCTATAGTGTAAGAGTTGCTAACACTACCACAAGCTTATTTTGTAACAGAAGTAAAAAACCATGTCAAGAAGGAAAAGAGTGGATTTTTTTTTAAGAAAAAAAGGCTTGAAGTCTTGATCTCACAAGAAGTTAACAAGATACTACAGTGACTGCAGTGTTCCTTTGAAAAAACTTTTTCAGAAGTAAAGTTAGGTACATTTAAAAAAATGCAGACAGTGAAATTTCATGTTACGCATCTACTTGCGAGACAGATTAAAATTTTGACCCAAAGAAAAAAGCCAAAATACTCTGATTTCAAAATATATCAGTTATTATCATGGTAGATGATGCTGTATGTAGCTGCCACAGAATGTCCTCCCTGGCTACAGCAGCCCAGACGACCTTCCAGCAGACCGTAATTATATCCTGGCGAAGGAGCTCACCACAATCCACGACAAGACAGGTATACTGACCAGGCTGGACAGACCAGATGAAAAGCAAATAATTTCTCACCCTAGACTAAATTTCCAGGATCTCAACAGCATTTCCAGGTAAAAATAGACCTATTTCTTATTGAAGGCTTTCCATTTTCACTTGTATACTGGAAAATGTGCCTTCTCTTTGGACACTTTCTTGAGTAGCAGCTATATTTTTCAGCCCTCAACTTCTACTAACATCAGGAGAGCATCAAGGACTACTTCTTCTTATTAAGACAGTATTTTTTTTATTTTTGGTGATACATCCATGTGTCATTTGGGAACAGGAGTAACACTACCAGCTCATTTTTCATAGGCTGTTACAGCAGCAATGATCAGTAACAACAGTCTACCCCGCCAAAAAAAAAAAAAAAAAAAAAAAAAAAAGTCATTCCTTATACCATCCAGATCCACTCCTGCTACTCAAAACTGATTCGTTTGCAAGCAGGATAGCAGGCAGAAGCCTGCCTACTGCTGCTTGTTTTTTTGCCAAAGACATTAAAAAAAAAAAGGTTTGTTTGACCAACAAGCAGCTACCTGAATAAAATTTTTTTTTGTTTCTTTTTCTAGTTAGTTTGGGAAAGTTTATTTTCCATGAGTTGCCTGGAAACTGCAAATATTAATTTGTTTATAACAGGTACACTACATCTTTTTTTTTTTGTCAAAAAAAAAAAAGTGAAGGGCAGATTTGGAAAAAAGAAGTGAAGAAGTAAAGCTTTGCCACACCTTTTCAATCAGAAGAGAGGGGAAAACTAGCATTCAAAAGTAACAAAATTAATAAAAAATTAATATTGTACTTCCGCGATATATTGCTGGTGTATTGTCATCCAACAGGCAATTTCATTTATAACACTGAAGACAGCAGTAATATAAACAGTGGTAGGCCTGTGATCGCTACGTTAACAGTTGGACTCAATGATCTTAAAGGTCTTTTCTAACCAAAATAGTTCCATCATCCTATAAAAGTGCTGAAGAAAAGTTGAGTTCTCTAGGCCCTTGCCTTAAAACCATCAGACACTTCAGCATCCATTGGGCAAAAAATTGTGAGACTTTTCAGTTTGCTCAGTTAAAATACAAGGAATTAGATAAAGACATTTGCAGCAAATCATCTCCAGATACAGCAGTAGACATATTTTTAGTTGAACAACTTGGCTTTTCTAACACATTTCTACTTCAGGAATACCAGTTTAATGTGACGGCTTTTTCCATTTTATTCCCCCTTAATTCTCTCTGCCATACAGCCCGCTTCACCGCTCCTATATACCCAGGTAACTTCTCCAGGCCAAAGTGCAGCAGCAGCACTGCAGGCACGCAGTCATAGCTCGAACTGAAAGTTCTGCAGCAGTGCCTCCAGCTCCGAGAAGCCAGAACTGAAACTGCAATAGCCCACAGATGTAAAAATTGAACATCTCAGCACCTCAGAAGCCTTCACCACCGCTCATGCCTACTTATTTTCCCATTTGGCCCACGGGCTTTTTTGCAAGAGATATAAAGCTGTCAGAAGGCTAAATTATAAAAATTACTGTGTTATAGGAACTGCTTTATTTTAAAACTGCATTTTTTAAGAAACATTTTCTTCTAAAAAAAATTTATTTCAAATATTTTTTAATCTACTCAAGATTTTTATTTTGGAAAGCAGAGTTTTTTACACAGGTAAATCTCATTCTACGTATGTATTCTGTCTTATAGATTTATTATTTCAAGCATTAAAAATGTAAAATCTATTCTCTTTACACAGACATGGAAAAATTCCTTTATCTTCTGCTATTTAACAATACGCTTATTTTAAATGCCGAATTGCATTAGCAGTCTGGTCACTGCATATTTTACACTAGGCTGGAGTATTTTAGTTCTATTCCCTTTTATGAAAGCTGAAGGAATGAGTTTTGCATTGAACATCTGTATCCAATGAAAAATATATTAGGTGTCAGCTTTCAATTCACTGTATTTTATGGCTCCAAAAGGTGGCATTTCTTTGCTAAAACAGACACTCTGACATATTTAACAGTTGAAATGTATTGATTCAAATGAGAGTAATGTTCATAGCCTGAGGAAAAAAATGGCTCCATATATTTGTATGGAAAAAACATTAAACTCCATTAAAAATGTATAACTCCCCCTATAATTACAAGAAAGCAGTTGCAATGTTTTTATAGAATGGTAATAACATTAAGTATAATAAAAAACCAACACTGTAAGTATGGAAAAAACCCACAACCATGAATATGAAGGCTTTCTCAAACCTTGCAGGCATTGCTTACCTTCTCTTTTACCACAATCACCAGATGCCCCTTGAAAAGACAAACTGTTACAGCTGCACACCTGCCTCCCGGACACTGCGGGCATCCGCGTGGAAGGCCACCCAGTGCTGGGGGTGCTAATGCAGCCAGACTGGGAGGTCTATGGAAAAGTCACTGGGTGTGTGCCCAAGAGGTCAGAGGTAAAGCTTCCCCAGCCAGAGCCTTCAGAACGCAGTGGAGGGACTCAAAAGACTAAAGCAACATGCCAAAGTCTAGTTGGTTCCTCTATCATTGCACAGAGTTCTTTCTCCCACACTTAGTTTAATGCTGACTTTAGCCTTGTAAGAAGCTGATCGACTGTTTTAACGGTATGCTTCAGGGGTAACACAAAACTACTAGTTTACAGTTAGAAATATCTCACTCTGATGAATTTCTGAAACACAGTGGTAGAAGGAGAAGCTTCTACAATACTGAGGCAGCAGTGGAACAACTCCTCCCGACCCTCTCAAATTGTGTGACATTTAAACCTCAGATAACAAAATGCAATAACAATAAACAAAGCAAAGGCCAATGACTTTATGCACGTGCAGAACTGTTTGGGTTTTTTCTTCTCCGAAAAGCTTACTCTGTTTCCTACAACAGTTGACAGCAAGAGAAATAAATTCGAGAGCACTGAGACATTATCACTTACTTGAAATAGGACAAGTAAACTATCCCAAAGGCATGTGTATACTAAAGAAAACTATAAAGCCACTCAACTAAATAAGAAACCTCATCACTGCCAGCATCTAGCAAACACAAGTATCAGCATCACTAATGTTTTGATATTCAGATATTTAAAACCCGCATTTTCCACTGGCCTGAGCTGAACACACTGATGTTGAAAATAAAGGTACTGCTATAGCAGGACGAGCAAGAACATCGAGCTGAAGCAAGTTTTGCTTTAATTCAAAATCAAAGAAAGTTTTCTTGCAGAAAACTTCCCACTCTTCATCCCTCAAAGTTCAGGTCTCCTTCAATATACCTTTAAATTCCAAGCTTGGTCTTCAATTCAATGCCTCTCGTAACATCCTCACCTCTCTGTTCCTTTTCACTTTTGGACCCAGCCAACTTTTACATGCCTCATACAAAATTCAACGTTTACGTGTTCAATTCTTTAGCGTCTTGTATTTCCAGCTTCTTGCTTGAGCTTCTGAAGCCCAGGAAGCTCTGTTAGAAAGGGGCCTCAGCACTGCAACCTTGGAGCTCGGGCCATTTTGCCTCTGCTACAAGATTACTATGGCCCAATTGTGCTAATTCCTATGTGAATGTTTCTCAAGGTGGAATGCAAGTTTTCAGTGTCCACAAGAGCATTCTACTAATGTAAGTATATACACAATCTATCAAATTTGAAGTGTGTTAGCAATGAAAGCATTGCAGAGTCTCTCATTAGCTCTACACAATAAAACCAGGGCTGAGCGATGATGTGCAAGACAGTTGGGTCAACACATCTCCTGAACTTTGCCACTGCAAGGATCTCTTGACTGAGCCACCGAAACTCAACAGAGGGAAGTGAGAGGGAGACACATCTTCCATAGCTCCAATCTTCCTCTTCTTCTACCCTAACTCCTTCAACGCTGGTATGTCCCACTTTGGGAATGCTATAATGTACAAGATTGTATGAGTTAATCCTATCTGACACATTGATCTCATCTGTAATGTCCTTTTTCCAGCCCCCAGAATACAGGCAGCTAAAATCTATTCAGCAATGATGCTGTAATGACAAACTGTCTTCTCTGAAGCTCTGAGTTTCTGACATGGTTGCAAAAATAATTAGCAAAATACGTACGAAAGTACTAGTGATTACTAAAAATACCCACAACGTCCATGCTAAATTAGAATAAAATGTCCAAAGTCTCAGGGTTAAGAATTCTCACAGTATTATTTTCTAGATGTACCATGTATCACAGTCTTCCTATTTATCACTCAGGTAAGATCAAAATCTAGCTATGCCCAATTTCCATCCAATATCAAAACACTTCAATCATACTATAAAGTGCAATATCCTTCTAATGTTTTCCAGTTTGTAATTTTCAGCCCACACCAGGTTTTGCTGCTGCAAAACTGTCATCGTTTTAACTTCTACCAACGCTGTGTAGAACATATTTGCCTCTCCACAAAAATTTCAAAAACCAGCATGAGTTGATCAAAGAAGTCCAGCCCTATTCTTGCCTAAAATACTTCCTATTATTATTTTTTTTAAAAAATCTGCATTTATTTTACAAGATTATGCATCCCTGTTAATTCATACTACAAATGAATGAACAAAATACAAATCAAAAAAAAAACACCACAGACCAACATGGCAAAAACTAGTTGAAATGCATATTAATTTTCTTTATAAATTCAAAAATCCTGTTGCATTAAAACTGACATAAACACACTTACAATGAGGCCGCACAAGTTATAGCACAGAGCAAATCAGAATGTCGATACACAAAATATTATCTGCTCTGTTATCTGCATATCCATGTATGTGAAAAATCTACTGACCATTAATGCAAAGTACATTATTTCTCACATAGAGAAAAGAAAAACAACACAAAAAACCAAATAAAACAGTCTTGCATACCCTTTTACCCTTTCAGATGCTGAAAAGTGCGAGTAGAAACAGGTTATTACAACAAGGTAACGGCACACTAAAAATTCATATCTATTGTATCTTACAGCAACATGCTTATGTGTCCCTCTTCTCATTAAAGTTAACATAAATTATCCAGCAATTAAACCAAATTTGAATTCTTAGTTAAAATATGTATATGAATATTAATTATTTCAATTCAGTTACACTTAATTTATTTTGAATGTGATTTTTAACTTAATTGAATTATTAATTTGAATAACAATGTCTACACCGGAATTCAAAGCAGTTTAACAAATCACTATAATTTCAGTTCTTCAGGACAAACTCTGAGAAAAGAAGAACTTGGTGTGAGAAGGATGCGCCCATTTAGTTGTGCAGTGCAGAATTTGGTGTCCCTATGAAAAATCAGATTTTTAATTATAGTTGGCATTTCAGAACCTCCTGCTGGTTGCTAATTTCTTGCTAAAAAAGTGACCTCATTCCTAAACTTGTCACTGTGAGAACTCTTATGAACTGCAAACAAGCTTCCATTTGTTCTAGACTGGCTCACTAAAACTCCATTGTTTAAAACATTTAAACAATATACTAAATCCTTAATGGAATGTGCTGCTTCTGATTCAACAAAGTCTTTTGGATTGCTGTCTTCTGGTAATTGGAACAAAAAGTCAGGATTCTGGATTTTTTTTTCTGGCATTCTTGGATGATTTTATATTCAAAACTCATTAATTTAAATTGAAGTACCACACAAAGATGTAACTTAAAAAAGTGCCACTTTTGCAGTTGTGTGTTCATAACTATCCCAGCTCTTAAATGGGTATTGCCTACCTGCAAAACACTGGGCTCTTGGATCCTCCCAACACTGCACTTACTGACTACATCTCTCACAATATACTTTCTCTTAAAAAAAAAAAAAAAAAAAGAGAAAATACAACAACGTAGAATGTGCAGATGAAAAGCATTAAATATACAAATATTATTGTGTGATATCACTGAGACACTTCAGCTACAGCATTTGCCAAGACAAGACAGTACGTATGTCTCGCCAGAACAGACTTTCAGAAAAACAAAACCACATACATCAAATTTAAAAATGCTCATCCAAATTTTCCTCCAAAACAACATCAACAAAAGTTTCATGAAAACATCACCTCCTTTGAAATGTTTTCTCCTCTTTGTTTAATGAGAGGAACTGCTGGCACGATTCCCTTAGGATGAGGTACTGTGTAAGTCACGTATTTCTTTTGTAGAATCCTTTGGATTTACACACAAAAGCCATTTTCCCCTGAATGTTCTCAACAATCAGCATGCTATTTCCTGGCTCATAGTTTCTAAATTCCACCTTCTTGAATGGGTCACATATCCTAAAGAACTGTCTCTTTCCTTCCTGCCAGGGACATACTCTCATTCGCTCTTCACGTGTACCTGATTTTTTGTTGGTTTTTGGTTTGCACCCTCTTTCTTCAACAACATGTTTTGCCTCCACGCACCAAGACATGCAGCTGCAACAAGTAAATCCCCAGGTCCCAGTGGCAGTCAGTAGGTCAGAGCCCTCTGTGCTTCCACAAGCCTTAGCACACATTGCCTTAGGCAGCAGCCATCCATCACTAGACTGCTTGGTCAGCAAAGAACTACTTAAGGGCTCCTTCCATTCAAGACAGTCAGGACACCCACATACTTTAGGAGGCCTACCAATAAAAATAGAAGATGTAGGCGATGGCAGTAGTTAGCACCATGCAGCTTAATGGTATTAATACGGAAAACATGTGCAGAAGAACATTCAAAAGGAATCTGGGGAAAAATAAACATGAAATGAATACTAATATTCAGTTATGCTACACATAGAAACACTGTGGAGGCCAATTACTTATTAGCTTTCCTGACTTTGCTAACAGTGGCACCATGTGGAGGTAGCAACCTAATCACAACTACCTTTATTTTTGAAACGTAAAGCCTCAAGGACCAAAATCTCAGCTAACAGTGTATAGAGTTCTCTTAATGCCCAGTATCTGCATTCCATCTTATTGTACCTTACCCAGTATGTTTGTGAGCCAGAGGGCCAAATCCTCTTTCATCGGCAACAAGTTAGCCTCATGTCTACTTGCAAGCCACTGACTGTATTGATGCATATCAGAGAGGCCAGGCCCACGTGCCTTCGGGCTCAGAGCAGTGCACATCGCTTATCCGCTGGTTGTACCTGTTTTATTATACATATAAGAAAAAAATAATAATTACTTCATTATACAAAATCGAGTTTTGCAGGTTCACTTTTCAGAATTGTAGAAGGCAGTAACTGTAACTATGATTCTAAGAAATCAGATGTCAGACAAACAGATGTGGATCTAACACAAGAACACAACATTGATGATGGAAGGTTTGTGTTAATGGATCACATTGCAAGTGATTAAATCATACAGATAGATGTGAACTTCAGTTGTACTCACCAGGCTACACATGTTGCCAACACATAACCAAATATTCTGCAAGGAATGATTAAAATCAAATCAAAATAAACATTTTACACGAAACTAACAACTTGTTACACTGCCTGATCCAATATCCATTCAAAATAAATTGAAAGGTTCAGAGATTTTTGGATCAAGCCCAAGAAAAACATGGGAACAACTGAGTTACACTACTAGAACAAATTTACTAACAAACGCCATTAACAAATGTAATCAGTCTATTCTACAGCTTCAGAAGAATTAAAGAAAAAAAAAAACACCGAACATATTTGCTGAATAACATTATTTGTACAGAAAGCAGCACAACAGCTAGTGCTGGCCACCCACACCTCCCACTTCTACCTTTCAGACAAATAGTCCTCTGCTTCACTGGTGACTTACTGAAACTTAGTTTCAGGTAAGACAGTACGTCATGTGTTAAATATTAGCTAAGTGTTGCAATTCTCACAGCAGCCAGAGACCTTGGCCCACTGGACCTCTGTCTCTGTTCCTGAAGGACTAAATCCCCTAATTCTGTGGCAGACGTGTGCTAAGGAAAGTTCAGTTTGCTCTCTGAAAAGAAACTCAGACCTGGACCTTAATGCTTGTAGCAACGAGCTGGGATACTTTCCTGTCTGGTGGGCTGTAGCCTGCTAAATCCCAGTCACACCAGTCACACCCAGTCACACCCAGTCACAAGGTCTTAGGCAGGTGGCACTAGACAGGCACTAAGTGGGGGATGCCTGTAAGTAATAGATTTTGTCTGTTGTCACCCAGCTGATTGTGGCTCTATGTGCCAGCTGGCTTCAGCTTATGATGCACCGCAAACACCTTTTCTTTCTGTGCTTTGCATACCTGTCAAGTCAGGTAAGAGGCATTTGTAACTTTAAAACCAATGACAAAAAAAGACCAGTTTGTTATACTATTCCATTGTGGCCTGGAATAACAAGATTACTGAAAATATTTACTGAACACAAATATACGTGAAAAAAAGCATAATTGTAGTAAAGGAACCAGTTAGACACTGCACCTCTTCACTGGAAAGAATTTCACAGTTCATACATGCTTTGAGGAGGACTTTAGACTAGACAACCCCAGGAGGTCCCTTCCAACCTAAATTATTCTGTAATTTTATATTTCGAGGATGCACTCAGCAATAATCATCATGGGACCCTAAGCAGGGTCTGCCCTGCTACGAGAATAACACATGGCACGCACACTGAGCTGGGTTGTGCTAAGAGGAAGACCACAGACACAACATCCTTTCCTTTTCTTTCACTTCAAGAAAGGTCCACGTACCTTATCCCTTCCAAGACCACATCTATGAAGTGTCCCATGAAACATGGAGCTAATTAATAATCAACAACATTATAATACACCTGACAGCCAACCAGATACAATACAGGCTGCTGCCACCGGTAGGGTTGAAGTAATTCTAAGGTCTGAAAGCTGCATTTCTGTAAGACTAGAGAAAAGAGGAGGAAGGCTTCTAGAGCTGCTACTTAGAGGCAGCTTGAGTTTCCCCATCAATCTCTGAAACAAACACTGCAGGCTGATCTCTGTGGAGACAAAGAACAGAGAATTCAGGGATTTGAGATATTACTTCAGTTTGTCTCTAAAGGAACAGGCTTGTCGTTAAACGCATTTCATACTGATCTACCTCTTGTTTCATAAAACTCAGCATCTAGGCTGTATAAAGGTCTTAAGGAACTTTTGAGACTCACTGAAGGAAGAAAAGCAAAAGAACAAAGGGCTCTGGTTTCGGAAGATGCATGGGTACTTCAGTTTCGCCATAACTGTGGTAGTAAGGAACAAGGTCCAGAGACAAGAGAGCTATTTTGGGTTTAAGGCAGTTCTGACAGGACACAGGTTCTCCAAATGGGGAAACTAGGAAAGATGAGGAAATGCAGATAGATGGGTGACAAAAATCTCTGAAAGCTGAAAATTATTCAGGTATCTCTATCCCAGAACGAGGTCTTCTTGAACTAGTAGTCCTGAATTAACAATAACGTATGGGTTAATTGGTGAAGCAGGCATGCAAAGTGAGGACTGAGGAATATAAAAATTCATATTGAAGAGTGTCCACTGAGAAGAACCCTGAAGAATCATGCGACTCACATACAATCTCATTTCTGAAGGAAATTAATTTTCCCCTTTCCAGGTTTTTCTCTGAAAATCTACTCTACACTTCAGCAAAATACTTTCTTGTTAGACCAAAGCAACAGAATTCCCACCTTGAACTTATTTGAAGTAAATAAATAAAAACAGCCTTCAAGGAGCAGAGGGGAATTTGTTACCTGCAGCTCCTGTAATCGATTCTGCAAGTTATCAAACTGCAAGCACCAGAAGCTATCAAACTCTACATTATTCCTTATGCAACTTCTAAGTTGAACTTAATCCTCCACATTACTTCGGTGCTGAAGTACCTAAGCTTCACTAAAATGTTTGTCCACTTCATCAGTGGTAATAGCCGACACATTACCTAGTAAAACGTCATCACATACCAGCTGGGGTCTGTGAATTAAGTTAAGGTGACAACAGCCAGGTCCTGAGCTCTCTCAAGACCCCTTGGAAGATTCTAGCTGTAGTCAAGCCCATGCTTTTGATTCTTTGGCTCTGATACCATCAGCTCACCTCATTAAAATGTCTTAACATATTTATTTTTTGGTGAGCTAGAGAAAAGTCTATTGGCAATTTAGCAGTGAGGAATTTGGTCAGAGAAAAGGACTAACTTGCCTCAGAGGTAGACAGTAGCACTCAAGTATACATCACCACAGCTGAGGCAAGTCTCTTTGGCTCCAACAACTATTTCATCCTTTCCTTTTGGCAGACATAAGGTATGAACAAAGTAGCCAAAAAAATACTGCTTTTCCTAATCTCACTACTTTCTGAGAGCAACATCAAATCATCATATATACAGCTCTTTAAAACTAGCCAATGCAAACATGTCCAATATTTTACAGAATGTTACCCTTCTCTGTAAACTGTTGATTGTGACATAAGATGCAGAAGCATTTTCAAAACTTACCTCTAAATGCTTTGTTCCTCAGAAAGCAACTTCTTCCTCCTACTATTCTGAATGCAGGCAAGGAAAGGTCTTTACTTTTCATTCTGTTTTGTTACAGGTCATATTTATGCAGAACAGCCTTTTTTTCCACCTCTCAATAAGAGGACGACAGATCAAATTCTTAGACGTATTGTCTAGCTGAAGAATTCAGTGTGGGATAGTTTACAGTACACACAGTGACATGTAACAGATTCAACACACCGAAAGGTTTTATTTCTCTCTGCTTGCTTCCACCAAACAGTGAAGTTTTTATTTGGCTTTACAGTAGTGTACTTAGTTTCCTGTGTATTTATATTTTGCCAGCAGTGTAACTTGCACTATCTGCTGATTACTGTCAGTGATCATCACGTGAAAGTAATGAGAATCAAACAAGTAATCTTCTGTAATTCCACTAGCTTTTGTTGGGGTTAACTGGTAGAACAAAAGGATTCAAGAATGAATCACTCTGTACTCAAAACACACAGGAGGCATAGACTGTTCAATCCAGAAAGTAAAACTGGCTGCACAATTAGGCACTCATAGTTGCAGATCCCTGGATTCAATTCCATTTCCTATTCCAACCACCTTCCTCACCTGTAAAATTGCAATAATAGTACTCTTCAACCAACTATAATCAGGAGGAAAAAATTATTCTATATACTAAAAAGGTATAAATAAAGTGTGCATGTATGCATACATATATACACACAGAAAATACACGTGATCTGCCCTGTGAGTTAACCATACAAAACAATAAGTTTTCACTCCAGATTACCCATCCAGTGGCAGGATATATACATATACTGAGTAGCCACTGGCTATGCAGTGCTCTCTGTATTACATTAATTTCATTGTCACTTCAGCCTCATTTCTAATTACAGCACATGCATTAGTTCTCAAGCAAAAGGTGGCTTGAACCACTGTTTTTAGCTTGCTCCTGGATACAATCCTTCCATGTCAGGGATGAAGAAGTCTTGCTGAGTCACTTGATCTTTATGACTTGGTTTAAAAATTAGCATAGAAATCAAGTATCCAGTGAAACAAGCATTTTTCTTTGTATTTGTATTCAGTTAAAGACTAATACGAATATGTTAAAAGTGCCTATAGAAGGAAAAAAAATATTCATAAGGCAAATGGAAAACTGCATGGAGATGAGTCAAATTATCTCTGATGCAAAGGTCGTACATGACATCCCCTTCATACCATACCAGCTTGACCATGGCACTGTGCCACAGACATCCCCTTTGGTTCCCCCAGGTAGTATCGCCCCACAGGCAAGCAATTTCACTCCACCTGTTTAGCCGGCAGCCAAACCAGAGTCATTGGGAACCAAAGATCTGCACTTAGGCCAATTTAGTGGCCTAGCTGCTCTACAAAGCTGGGACAACTGGAAGAGAAGATGGCATAACTCTCCTCAGACATTGAGTTTGAAGACTCTATTTCATAAAATCTTCATAGAATTAATAGGCAGGCTTTAAGCTCATGAAGTGAGGTCCCCTGTAATACAACTGAGGAAACACATTAGCCATCAGTTGTAGAAGAAACAAAACATCACACACGCAACTGTGCAATAGCTTTCCTGTCGGTGGTAGAGAGAGAGCAGACACCAACTTAGACCAGAGCAGCAACAGTTTGCTCTGAAGGAACTGGAACTTGAGCACTAGACTGCATGTTGGCTTTGACAGAGGGGTATGGGCTATAACTGCAGACAATCTCCT